TTCCATGAGGCCAGACTTGTTGCTAGAGCACGGATTTCATGAGCCTTGCAACTTCCCCATTTTGGTGTAGAGAGCTGGGCTTGACGATAACTATTAGATATAGTGTTCTTAAGCCATCCTGCCACAGTAGCCTTAGTAATGTCCTTTTCTGACGAAGGCTTGCAAGAGATAAAGAGCCGTTTTCTTTTCTTCCTGTGGTTCTGAGTAGCTAAAATGTAGTATCTCAGAGCTCTGATGGGGCATAATAGTCTATCTGGATGATCAACTGTTTTACTCAATGATGGGATAGAGTATTTGTCTATGTCCTATAGGTCCAAACGCTGATGCCTGGTTTTTGGTGATAAATTCTGGTAGTGATCTGAAAGATATTTTGCTCCAATCTTGTGAATGCGTAATAGATGAGATATCAATAGGGTAAAGCTCAGACACTCTAGCAGCTGTAGCTAACGCTAAGAGGAAGGCAGTCATTTTGGAAACTGTTAAAAGTGTAGCCTCTGCCATTGGTTCATATAGTGCTTCCATCAGTGCAGACAGAACGATGGATAAATTCCATTTAGGGAAAGTGTGTGGGATTTTAATGTCTTCCAGTGAAAACGATTTCATGAGTCGATTTAATACTGGGTGAGATCCTATGGATAAACCATCTTGTTGTAGAACTGAGGCTAATGCTGATCTATACCCTTCAATTGTACCATGTCTGAACCCTTTCTCTTTTCTCAGGTGAAGAAGAAAATCAGCCACTATAGGTATTGTTATATTTTTGTCACGCAACCCCCTTTCTATTCGCCACTGGCAGAACTTTCTCCATCTGACGTTATAGATAGCTGAGGAAGCTGGTCTCCATGAGCTAGCCACCGCGTCTGAAGCTGATTTAGAAAACTGGAAACTTGCATCTTTTTCGCGATAGTTTCCAGGCGTGAAGGTGGAGATTTGTCAGGTTGCCGTAAAATATGTCCGATTTTGGTTGGCGGAGGAGATCGTGACATCCTGGCAGTTTGAGCGGCACTTCTGTGAGAAGTGGAATAAGTCTTGGATACCACGCTGTTGGGCCACGATGGGGCTATCAGAATTATGACGCAATTTGTGTCCTCGATCTTCCTTATTACTCTGTCCAGGAGAGACCAAGGAGGGAAAGCGTAGGTGAACATCCCTTGCCAACTCATGGATAGGGCGTCGACCTGAAGGGCTAATGGATCTGGGACTGGGCTGACGTAAACAGGAAGTCGATGGTTTAGGCATGTGGCAAACAAATCCAGGTGAGGGGTATCCCACGTCGAGGTTATCCACTTGAATACCTCTGGGTGGAGAGTCCATTCCATGGGTACAATCTTGTTTTTCCGGGATAGGCAGTCTGCCAGTATGTTCACTTTTCCCGGTATGTGCCGTGCTTCTATCCTGCAACTCACCGAGTCTGCCAAAGCAAATAAAAGCGTAACCTCCTTCAACAAAAGTGCTGATCTCGTGCCCCCTTAATGTTGTATGTACGCTACCACCTGGTGTTGTCTGTAGCTATCAGTACCGACGAGTGGTGTAGTAGGTAGGCCCATGCCTTCATTGCTTGGACAATATGTGGATCTCATTTCCAGGCAATTTATGTGTAATTTTTTGTCTTGATCTGACCACATTCCTTGGATTGTGACGTCGTCCATTTGTGTGCCCCAACCTTCGCCTGATGTGTCTGTATATAGGTGGTGTAACGGTGGGGGGAACATGAGAGGGATGCCTAGCATAACGTTTTGACGCCGAAACCTCCACTGTAGTTCCGATAGTTGACTGTGAGGAGGTTGAATTGTCCATATTTCTGGTGGTGTTCATCCACGCTTGTAGTGGACGTAACTGGAGTCTCCCTCTGTAAGTAAGATCTTGGATTGATGTCAGTGTGCCTCGGCAAGACATCTACCAACGATGTGACCTGCTGGGTTGGTCGAGAGCACTCTGAATCTTTTCTATAGCTCTCAGATATCTGTCCTCCGGAGGTTGTAAAATGCCTTTTGAAAATTGAAACCTCACCCCTATGTACACAATATCTTGGGTTGGCATTAATTCTGACTTGACAGGATGTACCAGGAAACCCAGGTGAGATAGAAGTTGGATCAGAAATATTGCGTTCTGCTTTATCTGCAATAGATCTTGATCGGCTGGGAGGAAATCATCTATATAGCCATGGAGTCTTACAAGATTTAGATGAGCGAAGCCAATGATGGGGGTGATAATCCGAGTAAAAAACCATGGTGCTATTGATATTCCGAATGGAAGTACGTTGAATTCGAACCTTTGACCGTTTACTGCAAAGCGTAGGTAGGGTCGACAACTCGCGTGAATAGGTACATGCAGGTAGGCATCCTGTAGGTCCAGACTAACTAGCCAGTCTCCTAGTTTGAGGGAATTATGTAACTTCTTTACTGATTCCATTTGAAACTTTGGTGGACGTACTAGGTAATCTCCGCTGTTGGAAATGGAGTTTGTACTCTCTTTTTATCACTTCGATCAGCCATGGGTCGTCCGTAATTGACTTCGACAGGGTTTGGCTGAGAGATTTTTGGGTGTAGAGAGTCACGAATGGCGGTTACCTCTACCTCTGGTATAGGATAGACCACGACCTCTGTTTCTTTGGGACTCATGTCTCCCTCGTCTTGGTCTGGAACGGGTTGAGTTTTCCCAAGTGGAGGCACAAAAAGACTCACGTCCTGACATAACACGTCTGCGTTTAGGTGGATCCGTGTGACTCTGGGTGTTGGCCGACCGCTTTACATTAAGCTTAGATGCCAATGATATAGTGGAGTTTTGGAATCTCTGATTAGTTGTGCCTGAAATTTCATCGATCACAGAGGTTAGTCTGCTGTTGAAGAACTGGGGCGCCAATATCGACTGAGACATCAAACTTCGTCTTAGTGGATCTGAAATATTGTGTCTAACCTGTTGAATAAGATGATTCCGTTGAGTAAGCAGGAATTGTGTGGACATCCATACCTGTGCAGATTGCAGATCTTCGTGCATCTTCAGTATGTTATCCAGCGCACTATGAATGAAACCAACTTGTTCCAAATATCTCTCAACTTTTGTGTTACAATTCCTCACAATTAACAGGGGAAAGTACATGTCTGATGCCTGCTGCAAACCAGTTCATATATGTACTAATATTTAACATCTGCTTGTTAACACTGTCAAAATCTTTGAATTTGCTCATCTCAACATTCATCCTGGGTTTAGGGTCTCTGACCAGTTCAAAATATTCATCATTAATGGTAGGAGATGAGGGGTATGGACAATTGTGAGTTTTATAACAATGTCTCCCTTTGTGAGGAACAGGCATGCTAAAAGCTCTACTGGTAGAGGCATTTAAATCCGCATTCATTTTGTGACCACATTTTCAGTGAAAGATGGACATGGAAATGTATGAAAACCTTCCCCCTTTTCAACAGGATTTTCATAACCAGCCCTTTCAATAAGCACCGGATCCTCTGCCTCCTTGCTTGGGGGCTTTACAGATGGGATCAATTGATGGATTTCATAGATGATATCTCTAAACGAGTAGTCGTTTGGTTTGAACGTGAGCGTACTATAAGTATCCCCTTGAGAAGCGTACGTACAATCTTGAGAAGCGCTAGTAATATCCTCTCGGTCGTACCCCCGGGCTCTTGCCACTGGGGTGAAACGGCATCCCGTGGTGTATGGCTATCTCTCTGCTGCGATTTCTGACTCGAGCTGCATGAGGATTTTGCTGTATAACTAGCATAGCTAGGTGATGCATAACTGTCCGAGCTATAGACGCGATTCTCGCGTGAGACTGTAGCTGAAGGAGCACGCTTTGTATAATAGGAACGCTTAGCACGCTTTTCCTCACTGTAGGGCGTGTAAGATTGATATGTCCACCTGGAAGAATGGTGTTTATTTCTGTGAGATTCTCGTGCTACAGGTTTCTTTTCCCGAGCAGCACGGGATGAGATAGTGCTATCGTGACTACTTTCCCTAGATGCAACGTGTCTTTTTTCCTGTGAACTTTCTGACCTGTGACGATGTAAATAGGACTTTTGATGGCTATCTGAATCATGTGACCTAGATCTTGTCGTATTTTTCAGATCTGCATGTTGTTTTAGTTTATTTATATCCTGTGATATCGCTTGGAAACGTTTGTCAAACATTTCGGACATGGATGTTGTCAGCGATTTAGACCATTCAGTCATACTCAAGGGGGAGAACGGAATAGATTTGGGCTCCAATGTTTCTTTAAACCCATGAGTGACCAAACTACCCGTAGCACCCGGGCATAAGGCTGCGGTCCCAAGACCAGAGCTAGATGCCTGCTCCTTAGTTTTGGGCGGGTGGGTTGAGCAACGTGATTTTCCCTCAAAAGCAAAAAAACGGGTTCTCTTTATTCAACACCTCTTTTGAGCCCTGTGTTTCTGTAAGGAAGTCAATTTACCTGAGACACAACACTTTTCCACATTTGATTTAGATTTAGTTTTGGTTTTGGGAGAGAACGATGCATACTTTTTGTCCGATGATCTTGTCTTCCTCCTGGATTTTGATTTGGGACAATTTAAGGCTTTATAAAGCTTGTCAAATTTTTCTTTTGACAAGTCCTTGCAGTACGTGCATCTTGATCTTGGAGTGCACTACTACATCTAGGGTGAGGGTTCCCGATCGCTTGATCAATTCCACACCCCGTGCAGACTCCAGATGACGGTAGTGGGGAGGCATCCATACCCCACAATACGTAAACTAAATCTACCTACTTACGTCAACGATCTTCCTTCTTATACCACCGTTTCAGCAATCTTGACTGACGAAGGTCGTCTGCTGCAAAACTTGACGATCGTAGATTGTCTGCTATATCCAATGATGATCGTTGGTTGACTATTGTAATCTTTTAGATTTATACTAGCTGTGAATTATTAACCGAAAAATGTGTTTGGATTGATGAGCAAAAACTTTGCTTGTTGATCCAACACACACTGGAAAGAAGTGATGTTTTCCTGCCTTGCGCATGCGCAGATGCAGTTTGACAAGGGATAGGGTTTACCTCAAGACTATGGGATAATTGGCAGTGAAGAGGACGTCTGTCGAAAAATCTAAAGATTTTATAGTGTGATTATTGCCAAAATGGGAATTTGTGGCTATGATGTAATAGAGGTAGGATATTCGCAGGAATAAGAGGCTGTACATAATGTTGATATCTCATATAAGAAAAAAAACTAAACAACTTATTGTCATTGTTTGTCAACAATAAAACACTGCAAGGGATAAAACTTGAGGGGCTGTATATATATATAAAATCCTATGGTGACTTTGAATAACATTCTCAGTACAAGTCGGGACCTAGTCCAAAGGTAAAGTAATACAAAATACAATTAGATATAATATTGACACACTTTGGTGCACACTGCAAAGTATATGTCATTCAAAATTAATAGTCAACACGTCAAGTCTATCAATCAATAACATGTGTATTATATAATATTCAGACGTAAGTTTTCATCTAAGTGTGGAGCGTTTTTGGCAGTCTAACATATTCACATGGGTCTGTGGACAGCAAGCCCTGTTAGTAGACTGTTTCCAGTCAAAATGCTCAGAGAACAAATTTTCAGAAATATGCATCATGGCAAAAGAATTATGTCACTTTGTAAACAGACCTTCCAAACTGTAATTGTGGTGACAAAAATTATTTCCTTGCTAGAAAAACGGGGTATCATTGAATAGTGGTTGGGGTCCAGAATAACAAGCTATAACTTTATAGAGGGTCTCAACTGTAATCACATGGAAATCAGGGGTCTGTACTAACAGGGCATTACTGTATAGAGGGTGTCAACTATTATTACTTGGAAAATGGGCATCTGCACCAATAGGATTAGCTGTACATCTAGACTTGGTGCAGGGTCTCATCAATTTATTTAAAGCAACTTCTGAGGACTCCCCACAGACACTTTGGCTTGTGTATCTTTGGTGATCCAGAGCCTGTTTCCGCAGCAGGATCCTACACCGTGTATCAGTAGTAGACAGTTGTCCTAGTTTAACACACACACTAAGACAGCTTTGTGAACATGGCCCTGCTTTACCAGCTATTGAAATGAATTCTGCGACATACTGCAGAACATTTGCATAGCTGCACATCATCTTGTGTTCTTCTCTCCTGGAATTAATGCACTTTGGCTGTATGAGGTGAACATCTCTCAACACCCGAGTCTGAATCTGAGCGATTGACTTCCACACACATGCGCTTCACCGGGCGTGCCTCCTCCTCCCCATCAGCGTTGTTGGAGGAGTTGGTGACGTGGAGGCCCTTCTCCATCTCCTCGAACACCTCTGAGAGAGCAGTACAGAGGTTGTCTACATCCTCCGTGGTGAAACACATGGGCGGCTTAAACTTGAGGACGTTTCTATCTGGCCCATCCCGGCTGTACAGGATGCCTTTCTCCTTCAACCTGCCAAACATATCAGTAGATACGGAGTCACAACAGTTTTATTGCAATAAGATATATATGGACTACTTTGTTCTTAAACAATTAAACAATTACAATAATCCACCTTCATGAATGTTTGGAGTGTGCATGTGTTCAGCCTTCATGGAAGGGACTTTCTTGCTGAATACCTCATTGCAGTGATACGTACTACTTAATACACAATAGTGCAATGCTGGGTGAGAAGAAAACACTGATTCACTGAAACAGATGTTTGTTTGTTTGTTGTGTAAAGCCACACACCAATATTCCAGCTACATGATGGAAGCCCGTAAGTATACAAGTCTGAACCAGACAATCAAGTGATTGACATGAGCAATGATCCACGCTGTCTGGGCATGCTGACACACAATCAACCAAGTCACTGAGTCTGACCACCCGATCCATTGTCAATTCTTACAACCAGCTCAGGACTTTGTCTAACCTGGAAACCCCACGGGGGAATGGAAGTTAGTGTTCTTACCTTGTAATGGCATATTCTGCCTCCTTCGTGGCCGCTTCTCTTGTTTTGTGGTCCTTCACCAGGTCGATCCCAACAAACATGCCCACTCCCCTGCAACGTTTCAACAAGGTCACAACTTCACACATCAATATAGATGCTGAACAATCATTAGGCTAAAAGAAATTATAGTTTTGGTTCTCAGGCACCGCCCACATCATAAAAATCACCGCACATTTTGTTTTTATTTCGATTTTTTTTTAAATCCTTAAATACAGTGTATTCCAAGTCCAACTGTAGTCACATACTGTATTCCAGTATTTTACTCATCAAGGAATACATTTATGTAGGGAGGGCCTTTCCCTGGTTGATTGTACATAATTGTTTATTTGGTTACATACTAGTTTGAACAACCCCCCAAAAAAGAAAAAAAGAGACCGACCGCCTGCACTACATTTTAAAAACCATTGCCTGAGAACAAATTCTTTTATTTTCTTAAGCCTTATCAAGGCAAAATTGCTACTTTTGTGACATATGTGCATATTACTTCAAACACAGTGTGACTATTGCTTGGTATATGATTACCTTGAATGTTATATCATATATTATCATCACTGACATTGATGTCTATGTGCTAGCAAGAGCTTATGTAGTAATATGGACATTGCCTCACCCAATATGAACAGCATATTACACTTGACAGTAATATTGGCGCTACTCTGTTAAAGCCTGATTGTTTATCACACATGACGTCCTATAACAATACCTGACATCGCCAATGATGTTGTAGCATGGTTTCATTTTCTTGAGCTTGTCCAGGTAATAACCTCCAACCTTGACTGCATTTTCCTGAAGCTTGTCTTCCTGGATAACATCTAGTACGGCCAGTGAGATTGCACAGGAAACTGGGTTACCAGCAAACTGAAGCAGCACCCAGCATAACATTACCATGGAAACAAAAACATTTTAATAAAATATGCTACGACAGTGTTCAATTTGATATATGTGTTAAGCAAAAGTCTACCTGAACAATTGTTCTACATTACATTCTTGGCAGGTACTATGTGAGCATTATGTAACAGTCAACCCTTACAATTGTTCTACATTACATTCTTGGCAGGTACTATGTGAGCATTATGTAACAGTCAACCCTTACAAGTGTTCTACATTACGTTCTTGGCAGGTACTATGCGAGTGTTATATAACAGTCAACCCTTACAAGTGTTCTTCATTACGTTCTTGGCAGGTACTATGCAAGCGTTATATAACAGTCAACCCTTACAAGTGTTCTACATTACGTTCTTGGCAGGTACTATGCGAGCTTTATATAACAGTCAACCCTTACAAGTGTTCTACATTACGTTCTTGGCAGGTACTATGCGAGTGTTATATAACAGTCAACCCTTACAAGTGTTCTACATTACGTTCTTGGCAGGTACTATGCGAGTTTTATACAACAGTCAACCCTTACAAGTGTTCTACATTACGTTCTCGGCAGGTACTATGTGAGTGTTATATAACAGTCAACCCTTACAAGTGTTCTACATTACATTCTTGGCAGGTACTATGTGAGTGTTATATAACAGTTAACCCTTACAAGTGTTCTACCTTACGTTCCATCCTTGGCTGGTATTACATATGTGTTAGTAACAGTCAACCCTTAAAATGTTTCACATTTCTATCCATCATGGTAGGGATAATACAGGTGTTATACACCAGTTCACTCCTTTCAAATGTTCTACATTACATTCATTGCTGTAGATTTCATTACATCACATACTTTGTTCTGTGCATGATAGGGATGATATAAGTATTATACAACCCAGTCAGTGTTAGAAACATACACAGTGTTGATGGTATTAGTGATGCACAATGTCCCCACTTCTCCTTACTGTGTTGAAGTATTCCACTCCTGCTGACATAAAGCTGGCTGCAATTTCAGGCGTAGTGACCACTGCAGCAATGGGGTGGCCGTTACCCATCGGTTTTCCCATCGTCACAATATCAGGAACGACATCTGCAACAACATGCACATCAATGAGGGTTACCACTGATGCAAGCTGTCCAAACACTCTTCAACTTTCTCAACTCACTTTCGGGAACACGCCTTGAGGAAACAAACCATTAGTGAAGATTATGGGGAGAAATGTATTGAATAGATCTTGGATTAAATAAAAGAGACACATGTCTGCTTAGTTTAGTCAACAAAGCTAATAGATATATGTGTGTGTTACAGGGGGAGGGAGGGAAACCAGCATTCCTATACTTGAGTGAGGGTCGAGGAGTTGATGCAAGTGCACTTGAATTGATATAATTGACTATATAAGTGCAATAATCTTGAACACGATATTAAACCCAATTTCACCTTCACCCCCTCCCTACCTTGTGTCTCGAACGCCCAGAAGTGGGAGCCTGCACGACCGAAGCCCACCTGAACCTCGTCTGCAATACACACCCCTCCAGCCTCCCGAACATACCTGCATGGGAATAGTTGAAGGATAGGAGCACAGATCGATGCACAAAAACACATGATGATATAATGTGTAGTAGTTAATATATGCCACTCAAAATTTGTTAAAGAACACCTGATTTATTTTACATTACTGTAGTAATACTAAATAATCAGGTGTTCTATAAATTCTTTTGAGTCGTATATTATCAATATTGACGCTTTCATAATATCCTTCAATATATTTTATAAACATAGGGCAGTTTGTGGTATGGGTTGCTGTGAGAGGTCGATGAGTTTTAGGCCTTGCTACTCTCCTACTGTTGATGTCTCTACTCTCATTGACCTCTGCAGGCAGGCGAAGGAGAGGTAGTGCTCTTAGGAGTAGAAGACGAGGATGGCTTCCAGCCAGAAGAGGATAACATGGATACAACACTAGGTGTGGCAGCTTCCAAGATACCTGGAGGTACTTGGAGAACCCCAGAGAGGGGTGAGCAGAAGTTTCACTTAGCCACAAAGGAAGGGTTGGTACAGCCTAGATATAAGGGGTGGGGATCCCTGCTAGACTTGATACCATGGCAGTGATTACAACAGGCATAAATCTGCAATGCAGCAGAGGTTATAATCAGAAACATGGCGGTTAGAGGATAAAATTACACAACATAATAGTGAGAAACATTTAAATGTCCAAACGGGAAGCATTAGGTAAGACAATATAAAAGAATTACCAAGCAACAACTAAGAATAAAGGACGTATGACACAAGAACATGACCACATGGGAAATTCAAAATGGCTAACTGGAACAACGAAGCAATGATTTTTACAGTGACTTGAAGCCACCATCATTCCCAATATATTAATGCCATGGAAAAAATATGACGTAAAGTCACAAACCAATGAATGATATAAATCCAAATGAATGCTGAAATAACAAACAAGAAAAAGGATGCCAGTAGAACAAAGGACCTGTCAGTCTGGTTGACAAGCAGTGTGATGGACATAGGCGCTGTGTGATGGACACAGGCGCTGTGTGATGGACACAGGCGCTGTGTGAGGGACACAGGCGCTGTGTGAGGGACACAGGCGCTGTGTAAGGGACACAGGCGCTGTGTGAGGGACATAGGCACTGTGTGAGGGACATAGGCGCTGTGTGATGGACATAGGCGCTGTGTGATGGACATAGGTGCTGTGTGATGGACATAGGCGCTGTGTGATGGACATAGGCGCTGTGTGATGGACATAGGCGCTGTGTGATGGACATAGGTGCTGTGTGATGGACACAGGCGCTGTGTGATGGACATAGGTGCTGTGTGATGGACACAGGCGCTGTGTGATTGACATAGGTGCTGTGTGATGGACATAGGCGCTGTGTGATTGACATAGGCGCTGTGTGATTGACATAGGCGCTGTGTGAGGGAATTAGCTACACAACTAGTTGGAACAACTTCTTTTTCAGCTGGACCTCACTGAGCTTTACAGAAGTAAATGCATTAAGGAGAAATGCAGAATAAGTTAACAAATAAGTGAAATACATTTGGGTGAAACTCACTGAAAGACTTTCTTGAGGTATCCTGGAGGGTATATGACCTGGCCACCACAACTCTGTATGGACTCCGCCAAATAGCAGCTGACATTCTTGCCATCTTTGTGGATGTCGTCAATGATGTCCTTGATGTCGTCTGCATACTTCTGCCCCAGCTCCTCCATGCTGTAGTCACAGTCTCGGTACTTCCCTCGGAATGTGTCTGGACAGGACGCCTGTGTGCATAAAGAGCCTCGGATTTTTAAAATTCTTATTGACTCATGTTGATATATTTGATAACAAAGACACAAGGGTGAGATTCCATTCATCATCCAACATCCTTCTTCCAACTTTTTCAGTTTGTAATCAGTAATAAGCAGTGTCAAAAGCATAAGAGGTAGAGTGAGTGAGTATGGTTTTAAGCCGCTTATAAGAGGTAGAGAGATTTGTCATGTCATTTGATTGTGACTAGAGATGAGTATCGCCTGTTATCTTGCGATATGATTTGTATCACGATAAAGACTAACGATACTACTGGCATCACAATACAAGATATCAAATTGTAAGAAATGATGAAATAACTGAAACACAGCTCTAAACCCTCTTTCCTTATACATTTATTTATTGTTATCTCAAAACAAAGTTTAAGAAAATAACAACAACAAAATAGTTTTTAATGAAGGGATGGTTATTAAATGTAACAGTTAGTCAGCGCTTCCTCAGGTACTACGTTCTTGTGTTCTGCCATGCTTACAGGTGGCTTCACTGCCAATATGGGAGGTAACTCTACTGGCTTCTGTTGTATTTATAGATTATCGCGATATCACAAATTGATGATTCAGGTATTGTGTGTACTTAAGTATCGATGATATCGTAGGTATCAGTGAATTGTTACAGCCCTAATTGTGACATCATGGTAACCAATGACATCACAATGGTCTTCAAAGCATTGTGATGCAATTTCATTGCAGTGCTACCTCCCAGGACATGGACCCAGCCAAGTGGGAGCATGCCATGAAAGATGATCGCTTGATCTCACCAAGTGTTACATCCAAACGTTATCTGCTGTTTAAGCCAGATTTGCATGACAAAGAACACTATCCTCCATGTTGTGGAGATGTTGAGATGTAACACTTGAAACCCACGAGTACAAGATGACCAACCGAGGATGAGGATGAGCTGATTGACACCTCTATACATCGCTGCACCCCGGGGACTGGGCAACCAAGCCAGCCCAGGATATCAGAGGCATAATTAGGATAACTGTGGGTGTGCCGAACATGAGCCAGAGGCAGAGATATGTAAAGAGCCTAGCAGGCATGTCTGGGCAGGGACTATCTGGCATATGAAATAAGATTTGAAGTGAACCTACCATTATACATTTTCAGCATGACTGGTAATATTTTCTGGATCTTCTGTATTTTCAGACAAGTTTTGAGCATTGATAAAGTATGACTTGAAAGAAGGCTGTCATGTGCGCTGGCTTGACAAGTGAACAGTTTTGACTCACCACATGCACAAAGTCGGGGATCATGCTCGCTCCATCTTGCAACTGGTCCATCTTGTAGGTGCTGAGGCTCATGAGGGAGATCACATGACCATGGTACGCTCGTTCCAAGGCTATGATTTCCTTGGCCTTCGTGTGGTATCGCGACAGTTGCAATGCAAGGTCATTGGCCTCAGACCTGCAACATACCATTCCCATTAATTTAAAAAACAAGGATTTTCAAGAAACCAGTCTGTTTTTAATCACCATAACTCACCTTGCACAGCTGCATCCCTTACCGATATATCTGGATCCTCAAGTCTTGAGTGCCTGCTATGACTATGATGCTGCCAGCACCATACAGGCAACCTTCACCAAAGAGACTAATAGCAGTGTTCCATTGATTGATTGTTTGATGTTTAATGCACACTCAGCAATATTCTAGCTAAATAACAGCAACCTATATAATCGAGTGTGGACGATCACACACAATCCTGTGATTGATATTATGAGTTGCAAGAGTCATCAGAAGATGACAAATGCCCCGGCCCCCACAAATTTGCAAGAACAAGTCATCTGACTGTTAGTTTAAGTCCAACTTGAAGAGAGAATGTCTGTCTAATCTGTCTGTCAGTATACAAGAGTAGTCATTAAGCTATCAAAACTATACCATGGAACTGGGATTCAGAACTTTGTATGTCAGGTACACACCAATATGAACAGAGTGATAAGTCAAACTTGTTGCCATGAAAATGGAAAAAGATATATATTCTAAAAATCACTAAGTAGCAAAAGGCACCAGATGACAACCTGGTCTTTGTGTATGCACAGTTTCATAAAAAAAAATACCTATTACTTTTAGAGATATGGTCCGCACAAACACACCACTTATGAACAGAGTCAAAGTCAAACTTGTTGCCATGGAAACAGGGGGAAAAATTGTTTCTTTGAAATTCCTAAATAGCAAAAGGCAAAGCCCTTGATTAATACATGTACCAAGTTTGGATGAAAACTGTGGAATAGAGATTTAGTTCTGCTCCAGAAACGACACCTACCTCTGTTTCAACTAAATCTAACTTGTTTCCATGAAGACAGGGAAAAAACAAATTTTGAAAAATCCCTAAATAGCAAAAGGCACCACTTCATCCCTTGGTTAATACATGGACCAGAATTGGATGAAAAGTCTTTCACAGTTTTCAAGTTGTGCTCCGACAACAAAATCAACCTACCCCTTTTGAGACTAACTGCAAAATATTTCCATGGAAATCAAGAAAAATATAAAAGCAACAAATCTGCAAATAGCAAGAGTCACCACTTTAGGATCTGTTTGATATATCTGCCAAATTTTGTTGAAAGATACTGAACGTTTTTTGAATTGTGAAAATCCAACCCCTTATGAGTGAGTGAGTATGGTTTTACGCCGCTTTTAGCAATATTCCAGCAATATCACGGCGGGGGACACCAGAAATGGGCTTCACACATTGTACCGAATCGAACCCGGGTCTTCGGCGTGACGAGGGAACACTTTAACCACTAGGCTACCCGACCGCCCCCCTTATGAGACTAAGCACAAATTGTTTCCATGGAAATAGAGAAAAATAAAAAGGCCGAAAATCCGGAAATAGCACAAGGCACCACTTCAGGATCTGTTTGATATATCTGCCAAGTTGTGTTGAAATATATTGAACAGTTTTCAAGTTGTGCTCTGGAAACGAAATGATTACGGACGGACGGACAGAAGAGGTAACAACTATATCCCCCAGCATTATATGCCCGGAGGGATAACAGTCTATACAGTCAGGGTATGATGATATGCTATGACAAATCCTCAAACACTTCTCACTCCTTACCCCGAGTTGGTGAAGTAGACAACTGACAGACCCTTGGGTAACGTGCTTGTGATGCGCTTAGCGAGCATGACGATGTTATCATGCAGAAAGCGGGAGTTAGTGTTGAGAACCTTCATCTGATTGGCTCCAGCCTCCACCACCTTCGGGTTACAATGGCCAACTAAAATAGACACGTTGCATTGATTATGATGTTATCAGTAGTGTGATCAATATCTCTAGCACAGATCTCAACACATGTGCACAGTGAAACATCAATGTTACTTTTCACACATGCATGTGCACGCACACGCACACATAAGGTACCCCACACACATACCTCTCATCTCACACTGTCGAATGTTTCAGATAAAATCTTAATTTACTGTGATCTCATCACAGGGATGAGGATGGATATTTTCCGTTTCAGCTGGAACATCTTTGCAATGGAGCATGGTCCATAATTTGGGGGTGTTTATGGGGGAAGCCAACAGATTTTAACAAATTTGTGGTCACTAAAATTCGCGGAAATTCCCTGATCTGCAGAAGAATCTCATCCCTGTTATCATTAAAGTATTGTTCAAAGTGCTCTTCAGTACTTGTCAAAATTCAAATGTAAACTTGTGTGTTGTCAACTCTGCAGTCCTGACAGCCTGACTCACCATGGCAGACATTGTTGATGCAGTCCAGGTACTGTTTCCCCGACTCATCGTACATATACTGGCCAGAGGCCCTCACTATCTTCAGGGGGTCCGAGGGGAAGAACAACGCACAGTTTCCACTGAAATGTCAAACCATAAACACATTAAAAACATGGCAGTATAACATAAAAAATCTCAGTATTATCTGCACTGAGAATGGAGGTGTTTTGCGAGTTACACTTTGTGACAAATAGTATGAGCTTTGTGTTATTTGTCATTTTGAAGTTTGTATCAGGCAAATCAGTTTCAGCACTGATCTGGAATAAGTTGTCTGACATTATCAGTATTATCAGTTAAGTGCCTCCCCAGACTGTCACACATCTGGATGCTGGGGCCTCCTTTGAACCAAAATAGTTTGAAATGTTACCATGGTTACCAGCAGACTGGTATCAAGATGGTTCTTAATCATACATGGAAGTATACACATTTTGTCCAATATGAAGCCTTGACAATGCACATTATTTTGATATAAGTGAACAAATCCACTTCCTGTCCTAGGTAACTATGGCTGCACATGTAACCAAGGAAACCTTTTCCTGACATCAGACAGTGCATGATCCTAAGTTGTGGTGCTGCATCAGCCCAGCCAGTATCTGCACGTGTCACAGAGTGAACACCACTAGGAGAAGGGTACTTGGACAGCATACTTGTAAAATCCTCCATAAATGAACATGTCAGGCATAAAGGTGATTTATCACTGAACTAAACCATTTCTCCATCAACTCGGTTAATGACATAAAAACATGTTTGTCCTACCCTAATCCTGCTAATAACACAAGTATACAAAGCAGGTTTTTCTCCTATTAAATAACACGTATTTACAGGGTAAGAATCTCAAATTATCCATTTTTGTGCTGGTGTCAACACAATGTTTGTTAGTAATTTAACTAGCAATGATGCAAATAACTGTGATTTTACTTTTGAAAAATGAAAAACAAACAAAAACATAATTATTTGCATCCATTCACAATTTGTAAGCATATAAGATGCAATATGTGGCATCTGGTAAGCCAATTTTTGTATTAATAGACTGTGGTACTAGTCTTCAAATTATTAATTCTTGTATCATGTATAGGTCACAGCAAACATTTCAATATATGGTAATTTATAGAAAGTCTGAACCACATAGAACTAATATTGTAGATTGAATGCTACATTTAACTGACATATCTACTCTGGTAAGGTTTACATTCAAAGTTTAGTGTCAGTGGTTGAACTTTTTCAATCTACTAAACACTGAAAACCTCATTCATGATAGGCTGGAGGCTTCTGGGCACATGCAGTGATATGATCAGAAGAACTGTTGGAAATGCTGCCACATGTCGCAAGCCTGGGACCTCCATGTCCACGCCCTGTCACGAATTACCAGGGTGCCATTGTTTAAAACAAGCTTACTGCTACGGCTGTCGCAAGTCCATGTCAAACTATGGGAGTTATGATCACCTTAGCGCTAAGATCACTTTGAACAACAGCACCAAGGACATGTACCACAACCATGTTCACAGCAAAAATCTTCATGGCCCCCCCCCACATCCCTCAGCAGATTCGCCTACATCTGGCTATCTACCTGTACAGTCACCCAGCTTGGTATCACGTAGCCCTGTTTATCCAACTAACAAGCACCTGTCAGTCAGTGCAGATAGATCAAATGTTGTTTTGTCAGTGCAGGTAGATCAAGCATGGTTCTGTCGGCGTAACATGTGGAAGAGCTTATTACCTGCTCGGCATCCACATTCTACAGGGTGCTGGATAAAGCAGGGAACTTCTCACACAAGTTACATTACACTGTCATCAAAAACATAACTGCGGCGATACGAAAAGTTAATGTGTATAGCCTGACAAAGCAGCAGCTTCCGAGTGCAAACAGGTAATCCTCCACAGGCCAGACTCACATCCAGCTTGTGTGTGACCTCACTAAGATAATGCAGATAACAACAGGATAGTTTGTTGTGACTGCTGTCTCCACCCACTGAACACTACCACTTCTTACAGCCCAGTATTAATGACTGTGGCATCATCCAGTGGCAGATTACTCACTCTAGAGCTGCAGTGTTCACACGGCAGACACTTCTCACTGTCTTCACACTGTAAATACATTTAGCCTTGAACCCGTCTCCAGGTCACACTGACCCTAGTGATTTGTTGCTAAATCCTTCACAATGTGAACACTGATCATTATGGCCTCCAAAGCCTTCTAAGATCATTAGTGACAGAGAAATGGCTGACATGAGGTTAGACTGACCCACAAAGATATAGCAATTGTCCTTGTCCTCATTTCTATATAAAAAAACACAGAGAAAAACAGCATTTACAACCAAACAGCTCATTATGTGGCTGAGTGTGCAACCTTCCTTTCAAGGACTTCTTCACCATTATCATGACTATTCTTGCATCAATTACTTCATGGATTTAAAATGTCAATGTTTAAATATAGATCGGTAACATCCTAGAAGTGTTAGATTCACATACAATATTTTTTGGGTAGCAACAAATTTCTATTCCTTATTAAGAAAGAGGTTATTTTCTTCATTCTTCTAATGAGTTTGACAAGATGTCAGGAGAAGCTATATGATTTGTCACGCATTGTTGTCAAGAGAGACAATAGTTGTGACACATTGTTGTCAGAAGGGGCTATATCATGAATGAGTGGTGATACAATGTTGAGGGAAGAAATAATTTGAGTTCTGACATTGTTGTCAGGAGGGACACTATCATAAACTGCCATAAACTATTATAGGGTTGTTCAAGGCAGGACATGAAAAAAACCTTAACTCTAAAGATTTTAAGTAAAATATCCAAACAAAACATTTACCTCTATAGCTAACACAGAATAGGCCTCTCATTTCAAACCTTGCAGAATCTTTGCTTAATTTTCTTATTCTGTACATCAGAATCTCTACACAACACATCAATATAATAAAAAGAAATGTGAATATTTTAACAAAAGAAAGAAACTAAATGTTTCTCATAAAATTATGTTGCTAGCCATGGACTTTTATTTCGATAGTAAATATTTATTATCATAGATCAAAGTCTACAAAGAGACTACAAAAAATGTTAGTCATACGACTCATACCAAATGCATAGAATAAAGCCATATAACTCTTTATCCACACTCCATGTGAATTTTCTGGCTTCGTTATCTACACTCCAACTGAAGGAATGTAATAGGAGCACTGTTTATGAAGGGATACCCTGCATGGGATGGGGTCAGGAGTTCAGGCCTCTGCTTTGTGGTACAACAGACATATACATATGTATGCATGGGGCAGATCAACGGCTTCTCATGTCATATAGGTGTGTCTTCTCTAAATGTTTTAGAAGTGAAAACAAGAAGATTTTTTAAATTGAAAATTTGATTAATTTTGAACAGTTTTTAATTTGATTCAGTAAATGTATCTTGTCATATCCAAAGAAATCTTTTTAGAAACTAACCATAACCTTGCTTTTCTTAAAACTGTACAATGTGCCCTTCAGTTTGGAATATTGACCAAGACCATACAGAAAACACAAGAAATCTGACACAATGTTGAGTGAGAGTGACAATCCTCAAACCTAAATGTGAGTGTCCCAAGTTTCTAGCCCCCTCATGTTGAGACTTTGTTTAAGATAAGACAAAACTGTATCATCATCACAAGGGGCTTTCCAGCAGTACACAATCAGACGCAAAACACCTTGATGATGTCACTGTCACAAGTGCAAGAAATGTTAACAAGATGCCATGGTATACCGGGTACAAATGTACCTTCCGCCATTTTGGTAAGGTATTAGTCTTGTACTAGTATATGTGCTATTTTGAGAACAAAGGCTTCCTTAGTAACAAGCATATTTTCATGAGGGACAGTCCACTTACCAAAATTGGTTGACACCTGTCAAGATCTTTTCCAGTTAACCAGAAAATAAAAATGACAGTACAGGACATAACAAGACAGATGGGCGGCATTCGTTGGATGCAGTAATGATGCACTAGTGTAACATCTTTGAAAGGCATTTAGAAGTGATACACATAAGGAAGAGAATATATGGATGTCAACTTCTTTATTATGAGGAACACAACTGTGTTCCTCATAATAAAGAAGTTGACATCCATATACAGTGTGTATTCAATTCCTTAGTGTAACATCCTTTTGAAGCTCTCATAAAATCTCTCATTACACACCAAGCAGAATGTCTGTTCTGGTCTATCATCTGATAAGCTAAAGAGAAGTCTCAGAGAAACACATCCAGAATTGCTGCCTATGAGTACTATTTAATGCAGACAAGTAATCTTTACTTTTACTATCCTGTGTGGCTAGTTTCCCATTTCCTACATACTTTATATTGATAATTCATGGATTATTTTGTGACTATATTGTGTACCTGAATTTAAAACAAAATATATACTTGTTGGTTTGTCATGATTAGTCTCCATCATTGTTAGTTAGTGCTTTTTATGTCGTGAGTGAGTGAGTTTGGTTTACGTCGCTTTTAACAATATTCCAGCAATATCACAGCCGGGGACACCAGAAATAGGCTTCACACATTGTGCCCATGTGGGGAATCCAACCCAGTCTTCAGCGTGACGAGCGAACACTTTAACCACTAGGCTACCCCACCGCCCCTCATATGTCAGGAGACAAATATGGTAACAACCATTTATTGATACTGTATTGTTGGACTGCCCTGGGTTTCGTTGTACGAAACAACCGCATTGCTATGAATGACGTAGGTATTGGAGTTACGATCACCTTAGCGCTAAGAAAATTTTGTACAACAGCACCTGGGCTCGATCAAGGGCTGTAACTGTGGGGAAAAATGACGGCACTAATTTGTTAACTCAGTCATGACAGGTCTTAGGTACGCATGCAAACTTTTCATTCATGTAACTTCATTAGCTTCTGAGAAAAATTGTCCCTCTTTCATGCAGAATGCAACAAGATGAAAAGCATGGAGCAAGGGCCATAACTCTGTTGTGACCAGTTACATCAGTGTGTAAAATTTCATTTCTCTTACTTAAATATTTTTTGAGACAATTGTCCCCGTTAAGAAGCAGAAGGGAAGACAGAGGGACAACAGATACTTGTATTATGGACGGACAAACTCCCATGATGTAGCCCCTGACCCACTAAGTGGAGGGGACAATAACCACAATGTGACACGTCAATACTATATATAATAACCACCATGTGACATACTACATACAATAACCACAATGTGACACATAAATACTACATACAATAACCACAATGTGACATACTACATACAATAACCACAATGTGACATACTACATACAATAACCACAATGTGACATACTACATACAATAACCACAATGTGACACATAAATACTACATACAATAACCACAATGTGACATACTACATACAATTACCACAATGTGACATACTACATACAATAACCATAATGTGACATACTACATACAATAACCACAATGTGACATGCTACATACAATAACCACAATGTGACACATAAATACTACATATAATAACCACAATGTGACATACTACATACAATAACCACAATGTGACATACTACATACAATAACCACAATGTGACATACTACATACAATAACCACAATGTGACATGCTACATACAATAACCACAATGTGACATACTACATACAATAACCACAATGTGACATACTACATACAATAACCACAATGTGACATACTACATACAATAACCACAATGTGACATGCTACATACAATAACCACAATGTGACATGCTACATACAATAACCACAATGTGACATACTACATACAATAACCACAATGTGACATACTACATACAATTACCACAATGTGACATACTACATACAATTACCACAATGTGACATACTACATACAATAACCACAATAATTCTAACATGGCATGGCTACTGGGTAATTTATTAAGCTTTGGGACACATGAGATAAATGGTTACCACGACAACTTGTGCATAGAGTTCCTTTATGAATACCAATTAATAACGCCGGGCTGCGCAGAACATATTCAATATTTTCAAGTCCACTTACAGAAACAGAAACATGTCACAAAAATATTGAAAACTGAAGTGAAAGTTTGTGGCATATTTGTCACGTTTACTTATATTGTATACAGTATGTGAAGCCTGTTGATACATAATGAGCTAGTGTTCTGGCAGTTTGCTATGTCAGTCTGACATGCAGCCAGAAGGGCTCCACTAACCTGACCCCACATACAGCATCTGAAATAAATTGTCTGTGCAACAAGCCATGCAGGATGATGACACATAACCGTAGCCTGCCGATCTTGCAAGTAGCAGGCCCACATTCATAAATACATAGTCACATGCTAAGTAGATTAATCATCATCATTTTTCTTTACTTCACTCTGTTGCTTTACATTACAATTTTTTTTATTTTATGTTTCACTGATTTATTCCAGCTTTTCCATACAAGGTCAGTAAAAATAAAAATAATAATATATAGCTATGTCAATTATTTATTTATATGAAAATCATTCTACCATGGAATTAAAACTGCAGCTGGCTTCTTGAATCACTGATAGTGACGGAGACATAGAATTTATGTATAACATATTGATTGTATAAGAGGGTCTATATAACTAGCATGAGAGTTGTGAAATAAATATTTTTATGTTTAATTATTTCTGGACCGGCTGCTTTTTAGTAGAAGCAGCAGACCCATAAAATGTAAAATGTGTAGCAGAACTCAAATACTAAAATTATCATTAATAGCAAAAGGATAAAAAACAAAAATGCTAAATTGAACATAAAAGACGTTACTATTGACTTGCCAATTGTTTGTATCGGGAAAGTTGCTACACTGCTATTGGAGTGAGTGAGTGAGTTGGGTTTAACGCCACTTTTAACAGTATTCCAGTTATATCGCGGCATGTCAGCTTAATGTGGGAGGAAAGCCCGAAGTGATGCAGGTCTCAGACGTTTACTACTTCAGTGAAACCCACAAGCATGGGTAAGGTGCTGACAAACCTAGAAACATAATTGGGGCGAACCAGGATTCGAACCCACAATC